CAGAAATTACCCCTGAGACTCCACAGCTGTGAAAACCCTGTTTCTGAACCATTTGAGCCTCTCTCTGTCTCAACAACCTTCCTTTTGCACATCCCTTCTTTTCCTTCCTATTTTGGTAGTACAGCTGTATGGCAGTTTTAAAAGGATGCAGTTACTATATAAAAAAGCACAGAGTATTCTTAGAATCAGAGCTACAAACAACTTCATCACAGGCTCCAGGAGCGGCGAGAAAATTGTGCGTTGCAGATTAAAAAGAATTTTGTAGAATTTTGCTATATCATAAAAAAGAAACAGTTCATTCTGCTCATAATCAACTGCATCATGACGCTGTGTAATCTGTATAATCAAAATGACTCGTATCATCACAATTTCTTTTCAGAAGAGTTCAGTGAAGGCATTTTTAGTTTAGTTGGTCAATAAAAAATTGACACAGTTCGTGCTTTGCAATAAGAAAATTTGACCTTGGTTTCTTCTTATCCAAAAAAAAACCCCTCTTAAATGTCCAAGCTGTAACAAGTAAACCTTATCTCTCCTCTTAACTCATTCACCTTACTCATTTGTTTCAGCTATGGTTCACATGCTTCCTATGCCAGGCTAAAATCCTCATTAAGTATTTACTACCCCTGGCAGGCCTTCCAGGGTATGGAGTTACTATGGCTACACCCTGGGGCTCTTTCCAGCGGAGAGCTGCAGCAAACGAATAAAATATTTAAGCAGCTAGAGTATAGAGCAGTGTTTTCAGGCAGGAAAGTATCTGCCAAGTAAAAGCAGGTTTATAGAAAACAAAGCACAGATTTTGCCCCTTCAGCGCTCTGGTGCTGCACTCACATCACCCTCCTCCGCGGAGGCTCCTGGCTGCAGAGGCTGCTCTCGCTGCAGGAGCTGGCGCTCGGGGAGGACGCGCGGGAGCCCCCGGAGACACGGAGCCTGCGCGCGGAGTCGGGGCTCTCCAGGTCGGAAACGCTGCTGCTCAGCTGGGCCCTCTTCTTGGCCGCGCTGTTCCGCAGGGATCTCAGCGAACTCTGCATCTAGACAGGACCGAAAGCAAACAACGACATTGACTCACTGCACAGGAAAGGGGCTCTCCTGGGCAAAAGCAAGCGTGTTTCCAAACCTTCAGTTCAAACCCCGAGCGGGAGCTCAGCAGCTCCAGCTGGGCAGCACTGCTGAACACCCACATGGGTTATGCACATCTCAACAAGTTTCACTTCAGGAGAATCATCATCATCGTGCAAACAAATGCTAGTACTGCCCAGGGGCTGCATGCAGCCTCGTTTTGCAAGACGCGAGGACAGACTGCTTGCAACGAGCTGCTCTGTGCAAGGGGCTGCAATAACTGTTTGATGGCTGCAGCACCACGGGGTGACCTCGGCCTCTTGCAATCTGGCCTGTGCAAAGCTGAAGACACGCACAAGGGAATCTGCAAAGTCACACATGCAGGAGCAAAACTCCGGCCCTGAAAGCTGTAGGAACTCCATGCCACTGCAGATGCTCTCCTCTCTGGCAGAATATATTTGATTGGGAAAAAAAAAAAAAAAAAAAAAAGGAGCTACTGTTTAGTGACACGAAAGAGAGGATCTGAGGATGGGGGAGAGAAACACTGTTTTTTTCTTCCCCAATCTGTTTGGCACATCAGATTCCTTTGGTTAGTGACTATGGGGTGGCAGGAAAAGGTTGTGAAGCAGAGCCAGTAAGTCCTAATGCAACTGCTTCCGATCCACAGGGAATAACGATGGGATTGGAGAGCTGAGAGAAACAAGCACAGGCTGCCCAGGAGCAGCCTGGCAGATCACAGATACCCAGGCAAATGCAATGGCTTTCTGTGCTATATCTGTGTTAAACTGAAGAAGGTGAGAACTTATTTGTCCAGCTTCACTTCAGATTTTCTCATTTTACCCAGGAATGACTGAACTCTGAGACAGCTAAGACCCCCTGGAGTATCAAAGACAAATTTGAACAAATCTGGAAGACTAGGGAATCTGAATCAAACAAACTCTTCAGTAATAAAGTTATTCTGGGTCCTTTGCTATAACCAAACAAAGAATTACTATTTAAGTCCGACACTAAAGTTAAACTTTAAACAGAAACTGTATAAATGCCTGTAATTCTTGCCTTGGTACTACATGATGATTTCCACCCTCAGGAAAAGAAGACCAATTCATGCCTGTCCGGAAAAGCCGCAGGAAGCGTGCTTCAACACGGAGGGCTGCTGCTTCAGTCAGCCTCCATCAGCCACTCTTGCCTTATTGAAGACCTGCTGCACTGAGGACAGCCACAGAATTTAAGCGCGCAAATATTTATCCTGGCACGTAAAAAGAAGTAATAGCCAGCAATCCCTGGAGCGTGCCAGCTCCCGCTGAAACCCACCTCCTCGGGGTCCACGTCGCTGTCGTCGAGGCCGAGCG